CTCACGTGTCTGGATGGCTGCTAACCAACACTGTGTTTTCCTGTCGTGGTGCGATCCCACGCACCAGCCCACTGGCACCAAGTCAGTTCCAACCAACAGCAATCATATGTAGGGTTTGCATGACTATGCATCTTTAAAGAAGCAGGTAGCCTCTTCTTTCTTCTGAGGAACAGTGGGTAGGCTTTAACCCCAGACCCTGCAGTCACCAGCCCAAAGATTACCCACCAGCTCCACAAACACATAGTACTTAATAATACACGAGGACTTGAAAAAACTCTTGGACAGAATCTAATGACCTTTTCATTCCACTTTTCCTCATTTTTTCACTGCCCTTGTAGAACCTAGTAGCATTCGAAGAACAGTAACACCATAGCCCAGCCTGCCAATTTGGGAAATGAAGGAATCAGACAGCCCTCCATAGGCCTGTGCCGACACCGGCACTCTCTCTGTGAGTCCTTGGGTCCTAATGAATGGAGCCAGAGAGTATTCTGCCGGTCAGTTAACAAATACGTACTACCCCCTCTTCTACTCGGTGCAACGTGTGTGTGCTCTGAATCATAAAAATTCTGATTCTTCTTGAAGTCCCTTGGAATGTCTTAAACCATCTGGAATCCAGAGCTATCCAGCAACCTCATCTCTAGACCAAGAAGGATTCCCTAACGGTGTGTCTGAGTAGTCACGGTGGTGGACAGATAACGCAGGCTGGAAGCCTTCGGGCTCTGCCTGGTAGCCTGTTTATATGAACTCTAGACATGGCTCTAACCTGCCTGCGTGGTTTCCAACTGGTAGGAAAGCTGGACTCAAATCAAAAATAACCAACTCACTGCCATCAAGTCGATTCCCGCTCAGAGTGACCCTATAGGACAGGGTAGACCTGCCCCGTTTCCAAGACTGTATGTAACTCTTTACAGCCCCGTCTCCCTCCTGTGGGAGCTGGTGGTTTCAAACTGCTGACCTTGTGGTTAGCAGCCCCCTAGACCACCAAGCCTCCAAGAAAGCTGAAAGGGTCTAAAACGGTCACTGACTTTATGAGATGAGATAGGAAACGCTCAAAAGAACAACAAAATCTCCACTAGAGTGCAAGGCCGTGGTGCTGAAAGAACCGGACACTCATATTCCCAGAGGCTCTGGGGGCATTGAGAATTACAGAATAGGGTTACAGTGTAAGTCCATAATGAGGGCTGCTAGTCCTTAAGCAAAAGTTAACTAATGCTGTGGCATTTCCTCTCTTGGATAGACAATGCCGTTTAGAAAGATTTGCATCGAAAGTGACCAAGTTTTGTTTGGTTTTTGGTTTTTCATGTTTTGGTGGACTCTGGGAATACTCAGCTATGGACATGGCTCTTCTGCCCAGGGCCATACAGAGAGGAAGCAGTTTACTGTAGTCTCATCACCACAGGTGACACCCTGCCTTCCAGACCTGCAGTGGGAGAGGGAGGGCCTGTTTCCCAAGCAGGACATTCACCTTAGTCACATAATCACATAAAGGAGGTCAACTTCCCAGGAAATTGGTGAAAGTGGTGCTTTTAACCTCTAACAGTCGGTAATGGGCATCAAGCACTTTCCTTGTTTTACTTCATAAAGTTCATGTCACCGTGCTCCCAGACTTTAAATCTTGGTTTTCCACCGAGGAGATGGCTCGGCTTGAAAGGCTTGGGGTCATGTTTGGCACAGTGGAAGGTCAGTGAGGAAGAGGAAGCCCCTCAGCCCTCCATGAGATGGATCGACACAGTGGCTGCAACCACAGGCTCCAACATACTCATTGTGAGGATGGTGCCGCCCTGGGCAGTTGCTGACTCTGTTATGGGAAAGTCACTAAGAGCCGGAATGGACTAACAGCAACAACAACATACTGTCCACTTAAAAGCCTTGGTGGTGCAATGGGTTAAGCACTGAGCCCCAAAGCAAAAGGTGGCTGTTCGAACCCACCAGCTGCAGGAGAAAGATGGGGTAGACTGCTTCTATAAGGACAGCTTGATAAAAAAAATCAAAATGAAATTCAACAATGTATAAAAAGTTATCCACTAAAAAAAGAGTTATAGACTACAACCAAGTGGGATTCACCTCAGTTATGCAAAGGTGTTTCAGCATTCACAAATTAGTGAAATTCATCATATCAATAGCTAAAAAAGAAAAATCCTATGACAATACCAGTAGATGGAGGGAAAGTGTTTGGTAAAATCCAACACTGATTCATAATAACAACTCCAGTAAATTAGGAATGAAGGGAATTCTCTCAACTTGATTAAGAAAACCTATACATCTCCACAGCTACCATCATACTCAATTATGAGAATCTGGGTGCTGCCTCACTAAGATAGAGAAGAAGACAAAAGAGTTCCTTCTCTCCTCTCCTGTTCACATTTTATTAGAAAATTTAGCTAATATAATAAGGCAAAAGGAAACAAAGTATACATATTGGGTGGGGGGGGATAAAAGGCTTGGTTTGCAGAAGGCATCATGAGCTGAGTAGAAATTTCCAGGCTTGCTGGAATCACATTAAATGATTCTACAATAAGAAAATCCCAGACTTGATGGAATCCCAATACATGATTCATTGATTCCAGCAAGGTTGTAGAATGCACAAAGTTAATATGCAAAAGTTAATCGCTTCCTATATATAACCAATGAAAGATTAGAATTTGAACTAAACAGTTTATTAGCATATGCATTAGTATAAAAATGAAATGTTAAAGTATACATCTAACTAAATATATGTAAGATTTCTATGAGGAAAAAGATAAAACCAATAAAAGAAACAAAATTAAAAAAAAGGACAGCTTGATAGCTGTGTTAGTCTGGGTTGACTAGAGAAACAAATTCATAGACATTCATATACGTGTAATACAGAGCTTGATATCAAAGAATAATTTTATAAATAAAACATCCCAGCCCGGTCCAGATCAAGTCCATAAGTCCGATATTAGCCCATATGTCCAATACCAGTCTGTAAATTGCTCTTCAGACTCAGGCAACACATGCAATGATGCTGAATGCAGGAAGATCACAGGCCAGTGGGTGGAAAGTCTTATGGATCCAGTGGCGGTGGAAGCATCTCAGCGCTGGTATGGGTCTCCACGTGGCTCCTTCAGCTCTGGGTCTCTGGCTGCATCAGTATAGCTCCAAGTGGCTTGTCAACAGGAATGTCTTGCAGGGAGTGAGTGACGGTCTGGCCTGCAGTGAGCTATTTATCTCTGTTGCACCTTCAAATGAGGTCATCAAGTTGTGACTTGATTGACAGGCTAAACTCCAGTCATCTCAATAGTCACTCATAACAATCTCAAGTTGACACCAGATTATGTAACTACCACAATAGCACTGGAAACTCTGTGGGCCTGGTCTAACCTGTTCTGTAGGGTCACGAGGACCTGGGAGCAGTGAGTTGGTGGGTTTATTCCACTCTCTGTGACCTCTGAAGAGTAACGTGTGATGGTAAGAGCTTCCTACCACTCGGAGGTGATCTCAAAGCCCACTCTCCACCCACTGCCCCAGTCAGGACAAGCCCTGGGAGCTAACAGTAATAATGAACCTCGTGTAATACATCTTTTAGTGCATCCTTTTCTCCTTGGAAACCTGCATTTCTTTTCTAGGAAGAAACTACTATTATGAAGACTTTATTTACCATAGAGACACTTTCTTCCATCTTTTTATTCTTCTCTGCTCTTCTTGCCTTCTCAGGTATATTTGTCCCTGGTCAGCCACCTCACTCAGGTTGTTGTCAAATGGAAACCCATTGTTTCTAAGCCAAAAAGCTCACTGCCGTGGACCAGCAGTAACTCATATAGACTGTCCAGGATAGAGTAGAACTACTCCGTTGGAGATGGGAGGTTATAAATCTTCCCCAAAGCAGATGGTCTCGTACTTCTCCCAAGGAATGGTTGATGGGTCCCAAGTCCTGACCTTGGGGTTAGCAGCCTAACACTACACGCGCCCCCCCACCTACCCACCCCATGCCACCTGGGCTCCTTTGTTTTCATGAGTCTTGTCAAGTTTATTTAACCCATAGCAACCCCATATGACAGAGCTGAACTGTCCCACAGAGTTTCAGAGCCGATACTCTTTACAGAGGTAGATCGCCAGGGCTTCCTTGTGACCCTGTGTCCAACAGAACACAGCTCCCGCCTCCCAATTGTTCTTAGAACATTTGAACGCCAGCAATGCAGCTGCTGTGTCAAGCCATTGTGTGGAAGGTCTTCCTCTTTTTCACTGCCCCGCGAGTGGCAGGGGACAGCAAACTGACAGGGCAGTGCTACTGAGACAGGCGTCCCCAGCCACTCTCACGGATCAGTGGCACGTCAGTCGCCAAGAGGCGTTGTTCCTGTAGCCAGTGCAGAAAGTGCTCCGCGGCTACGGCCAGTCATCGGTCTGTTCTCAGCTCATTCCCCCTGGCTTCCACTGCCAGCCGAATGGCATACTGATGCTGACAACTTTGCAAAATATACATTTCCTTGTAATCACCAAGATATGCTTTCAGTTATGGCGTCATATGGGGTTGAAATGTGTCATGTGCTGCTTGCCTGCTCGTTTTCCTAAAATCACAAATGTGTGTCTGAAGAAAAAAAACTATATATATGTATATATATATATAGGCGCACACCTCTCAGTAAGGTTACTATAAATAACATCTCTATATTGAATGAAAATTGTATTCCCTACATCACAGGCACTGATAGACTGTCATGAAACACATTTGTAGGAGCATTGCCATGACGTTGATCCCTAATAGAACTTCAGTGTATTTCTGTGGGAAACTTGCAGTAAATAAACCTCTGTCCCGACGTCCCAGGACTCTGCATCTTTTATTTGATGGAATAAGGTTTTAAAATGCACTAAAATACCCACCTACTGCCTCTTTGTTTTTCAGCATGCACATCTCTGAAAGCCAACAAGAATTCTTCAGGATGCTGGATGAAAAAATTGAAAAGGTAAGAAGTAAAATCCATTGAAATTTAACAATGTGTTAAATTGCCAGGAGCCCAGTAATACAGTGGGTAGAGCTTAGTTGGCTGGCAAACCACAGGTGCTCAAACCCACCAGGAGCTGATCTTTGGGAGAAAGGTGGGGCTGTCTGCTCCCCTGAAGATGCACACACTGAAGACTGCTAGAGAGCAGTTCTGGTCTGCCCTACAGGCTTGCTCCGAATTGCAACTGAGGTTTGCCAGGGGGGTTGGTTGGGTTTTTGTGTCTCAAGAGAATTAGACTAGTTGCTTCATGAACTAGGGCAACCTATTCTTGTGTCTTTGTTATAAAGCTGTCTTTATAAGGGGAAGGGTTGGAGTTAAAACAAAAGTGGTCATCTCCTCCCCCATCCCTTCCGGAAACAAGCACACGCATACACACACAAAATTGTCTCTGAGAATGGTGAATGTGGACTAGAGCCTCTCAGAGTGCTGGTCTACCCCATCCATTAAGGTCAGCAGTGAGAACCCACCAGCTGCTCTTTGGGAGAAAGATGAGGCAGTCGGCTTCCACCCGTAAAGATCCACAGCGTAGGGAACCCGGTGGGGCAGGCCTACGCTGGCCTGCAGGGTCCACTAGGAGTCGGAATGGAATTGATGGCAGTAGGTTTGGTGGGGGACTCTCTGTAAATGCAAGTGGCCATGAGTCAGAATGGCCTCAATAGCAATTGGCATCAGTAATTTGGGGGCAGGAGATGGCAGGGCCTTTCTTTAGAAGCACTGCTGGGGGGTTGGTTCAAATAGCTAACCGTAAGATGAGTATTCCAGCAGAAAGCCAGGACTCTATGAAGACAGATAAGTTCTAATAAGCAGCCTTTGCCCAGACACCGGACATTTCTGTTGTCAGATTATGCTGACCTCCAGGACTGCCAAAAAGACCAAAAACTACTCACTGCCCCTGAGTCAATGCCAACTCATAGTGACCCTGTCGAGCAGGGTAGGACTGCCGTTGTGAGTTTCTGAGACTGTTAGTCTTTATGAATATGAAAAGTCCCATCGTTCTCCCACCAGGGCAGCTGGTGGTTTCAAACTGCTGACCTTGCAGTTAGTAGCCCAACACATAACCACTACAGCACCAGGGCTCCCATGAGTGCCAGGAAGCCCTGATCAATGCAGAATGTATCTTATCTAGTGCCTACCGCCTACACGCCTGACACTGCTCCGAGTTCTTCACAAACGTCTGATGCATATTTCATTTAAGAGCTACCTCAAGGTCATGGCCATGAGACAGGTATTATCTCATTTCACACATAAGGCTCGAATGCTTGACTGAGTTACCTAGGTTTTCACCCTGTTGGAATTGTGGCCCAGGTCTGTCTGACTCCAAAGCAGAATCGCCCTGCTGCCTATTTCATAGTGTGTGGGTTTACAACTGTTCAATTCTGTGTGGAAACCAAGCCCATAGAGTGGATCTCAGTGGTGCCACAAGGTCACCTGCTGAGGCATGGAAGGTGATGATAATTACAGACTTTGTGCTTGGTCAAGTAGAGGGCCATCGAAAACGAAGGCTCTGGACACACAGGCTACAATAATGGGCTCAAGCCCAGGAACCACCTGAGGGTGGTGCAGGACAGGATGGCATTGCACTCCGTAGTGCACAGGGTCACTATGGCCGAAACCAACTCAATGACACTTAATGACAACGACAACAAATGTATGGAATTTAAACTCATGCCTGTGGAGGGGCAGATTTTAAATGTTACTTGTCAATCTGGTGTTAGCATTTATGAACATGATCCCAAAGAGGAATGAAATCCTAAATTTAGAACTTAACACAATTATGGTTACAATATCACTGCTCAGTTTTGCCTTTGAAGTACTTTCTGTTTTAATATCTATGTCTTTTATATTGTTTGTGGCTTTCATCTGAGCAGCCACGGTTGCTAAGTTTTGATGAAGGAGGTCTTCAACAATTCATCTGTATTTCAGTAATGCCATTTTAGCCTGAGATGTCCCCTGAAAATGATCATGCGACCAGAAAATATCTTCAGTGTGAAAAATAAACATGGACAATGGGTTAAGATGGGAGTGTGATGTATAGTAGTGTTACTGGTACTTAGATAATGATTTACAAGTGTAATGATTCAATGATTTCTAGGGAACTCCCGCCGTCTTCTTGGTAGACTGTGTTTAACTCTTTGGTTTTAACGTTTCATCTAGAAACATCCGCCACATTTCAGTGTTTTTAAAGCTGTCCAACTTGCCAGTAACATTTTATTTAAGTAATGACAAGTATTACATTTTTACATATTCACTCATTTTTATTTATTATTTATCCAGTTCCACCCTATGAGGAAGATCTTTTCTTTCTATTTTGACAGTAACCAATGTGCAGAGCAACTAGTCTGTAGAATTTGAAACCTGAATTTTAAGTTATCTCTTTGAGCAGTATTTAAGTACCCTGACAAGACATGAAGGGATTTAATAGCTTGTAAAAGACTTGTAACAGTGATGCCTTGGCATCCAAGGTCCTGTACCTTCAGGAGAGAGAATCAAGGTCAACATCAGCCCAAGGCTGATTCCTATGAGGTGAAGGTCAAACATGCTTCCTCTCTCCGAGCTTTTTACCAAGTTTTACACCAGCCCTCCTGGCTCTAGCTCTTTCTACCGGTTATCTGTGTTTGATCATTTTTTGCAGTGACCACACAAGACTCATGGATATTGCTCCCACAGCATTTAGGGTTTATTAGAGAAGTAACAGGTTACAAGTCAGGACTGAGAATGTTCAGGATACAATTCTTCAATGAGGAAAACTGCCTCAGCCATACCTGCTGGCAGGACTCTCTCTTGGGCCTTCAGCCCCTGGGCTTGGCCCTCATCCTACTTGGGCAAGTGCTAAAAAGAGCTTTAGTTCAACAGATTGTGACTGCAGCCACCCTACTCTACCGGTGAGCCTCGGCCAAAGGCATGCAGCATCTCTCTGGGGGGTTAGCAGACCCACTGGAACCATCTCGCTCTGTTGGTCAGAAAGCCCACCGTGCAGTGTCACAATAGTCCCCCAATTCTGCTGCCATTGTGCCATCTCTTGTGTTAAGTGCTCTCTCTATCTCCTAGTCCTAGGAGGTGCTCAGTGCAGGGACCCCAGTTACAAAGAATGCGCTCCACTCCTGGCTATTCTTGGTAGTCGTGAGGTCCCCCTTTTTGCCTCTGAGATAGCTAATTATAAGCCTAGTGAGATGGCAAATATGACCAATTCCCTTGTTAAGCAGCTATACACCTTATTTGCATGATTCCCCCCACAGATTGTTATGTGCCTTCTTGCATTATTTAGCCAGCTGCCCAATCCCCTTGGTGTGCCACAGCACTTCGTTTGCATACTCTGACATAATCATTTGGTGAGCATTACATGACCATGGCAAGAAAAGCTATAAAAAAGCAATTGATCCACCACACTAGTGTGTTTCCATAGCTGAAATTGAAATTCTGTTGGTGCTGTTAGTTGCTGTACAATCAATACCGACTCATGGCAAAACCATGTGTGGAAAGTGGAACTGCCCCTTAGGACTTTCACATCTGTGACCTTTTGAAAGTAGATTGTCAGGTTTGTCCTGTGAAGGACTTCAGCTGGTTCAAACTGCCAACCTTCTGACTAGTGGTCAAACATGTAACTACTTTTCATCAAAATTGAAGTCTACTACCTCCTTCTGAAATCCTTTTTCATGTTTCTTGCTGATATCCTGGGTGCAGAGTATGGTTTGTTTAAGCACAGCAGCAGCGAGGTTTGAGGCGTGATCCCTTAGTGAATGGAACCTTTTCATAGGCAAGGGGGCATATGGACATTCACTACAAACAGTATCCCACTATTGACTTTATTTACAGTCAAAGAAGTGTTATCATGTAATGTCATCGACAGCAGATACCCTGGTGGGAATTTCTTATTACCTCTGAACCACACTTTTTTTATTGCCCTTTATTATTAAAGTTTATACTTCCAAATATTTTATAAATGCTAGCCTATATTTAATTTAAACCAAATCCATTGCCATCGAATTGATTCCAACCTATAGCAATCATATAGGACAGAATAAACTCGCTCCATAGATTTTTCTCAAGACTGTACATCTTTACACGAGCAGACAGCCTCATCTTTTTCCTGTGGAATGGCTAGAGGGTTTGAACTGCCAACCCTGCAGTTATCAGCCCACTGCTTAACTTGCTATACCACCAGGACTCCTTAATTTAAACACGAAGCTTTCAAAAATAAAAATAACACTTTTTAACATGTGTGTTGAGCATGTAATTCAATGTTAGCTATTTTTATAACTAATATTGAAAGTCAGATGCCTTTCCTTTTTTCCTGAGTTTTTACCATTGCTAAATGTTTCTTAATGTCTTTTGGTGGTACAAACAGTTGACAAACTCTGCTCACCTGAAGGTGGGAGATTCAGTTCCACCCAGGGGGTTCTGGGACGAAGGGCTTGGAGGTCTACTTCTACAAAAGCAGTCATTGACAACCCGACAAAGCACAGCTTTATTCCGACACATCCCACTCACCGTGAAGACGACTGGTAAATACAAGAATGCTTTCAAATCTCATTTTTTAAAATGGAATTAGGAGATAGTAGAATTTTTCCATGAACATTTGGAAGCCTCTTAGTTTTTTTTGGTCCAAGCTAGTCTGAGGACAATCATAAATGCAAGTATAATCTATTTAGGTTTGATAGGGTTGAGTTTAGCTTCTTCCTTTTTCATTTTTTTAATGGCAATTTTTAAGCTCATCTAGAACTGCATAATGAGAGACTGGACCTTGAGTTTTCGTATTTCATGTTGCTCAGAAATGTCTAGGAATTCATTTATTGCTTAAATTGCTAAGATGCTGTGTTAGTCTGGGTACTTAGGAGAAACAAATCCACAGCGACTCATGTATAAGAGAGAGTTTTATGTAAAGAAAATATGCATCACGAAAACATCCCAACCCAATGCTGCCCAAGCCCACAAGTCCAACATTAACCCATTAACCCAACACC